ATAATAAGTTGCTTAAGTTTATAAAAATTCCGATATCAGTTTATCAAACTTGAGTCGTTAATGAATTTTAAATCTAACCTTGTATTTTTTACTTCATATTACATTAATTCCACAGATTTTTATTTGTTTGTATAATGTGTTAGTAGTGATATCTTAATTATTTTAAAGATTAATTTATAATAATCTGGGTTCAAAAACACGCTTTGAATGTGGTAACACTTTATCAGAACAAACAAACTGCTTGATTCTGTAAGATTTGTCCTTGTGCACAGACATCGCATTAATTATCAACATTGTAACACACGTTTTTCAAAATATAATATTGTTTCGGAACATCTGTTATCCAAAATAAAATTAAAGAGCAATAATTTTAGCAGATACTAATTAAAAAATATACTTCCAGAATAAAAAAGAAATTCGAGATACTGAAATTATTAGGAAGTATAACATCACTCGTGACGACTCAGAAATTTTAATAATTTGTGAGAAAACGACTTTGATCCTAAGAAACGAAACTGGAGACACGATAAAGCGAAATGTTTAATATATTTGATAGCCTGAAGCCCTTTTTTAAGTTCCGACGTATTACCACGGGTGGATTTGTCTTTGCGCTCCACTACCGAGCCACCGTCGGCATTCTTTTAATGTCATGTGTCGTAGTGGCCGCAAGGCAGTACGTCGGAGACCCCATCGACTGCATTCATGGCAAGGATTTGCCTCATAATGTCGTTGACGCATTCTGCTGGCTACATTCCACTTTCTCTATACGGTCCGCGTTTCTTAAAAGAGTCGGTGCCGACATTTCGCACCCAGGAATCGACAATTCCCTAGGAGGACACAGACCAAACAAACAGCATCGTTATTACCAGTGGGTTGCTTTCTGCTTATTTATGCAGGTGAGTGTTGGTTCTTGGTCCTGAAAATATCATACAGCCGGTTGTTCTGTGTGGCTGTGAACGTGATTGATTCTTAGGCTATTTAATGAACCTCTTTTAAATTTCAGACATAGTAAGTAGAACTTGAGGTTCCACGGTGGCGAGTACGAACATGGCTGTCTTCTGGAACCAGACTACATGGTGCTATGACCCAGAAGACAGCCACCTTCAGATATATTTCCAGTTCTTCTGTATGGCTATGAACGTAGACAGACTGATAGTGAAGACAAGACGTACATACATAATTTTAGTGGTGGATATCACCCCCATGCTCTCAGAAAGCGACTGTTTGCATCACACAGCAGAGGGCAGTATAATATTAAAGTAAGACATGTTATGAGGATATGACGAGGAGTGAAATGAATCGAAATCGTGTCAATTATTGTAATTTTATACTACTGGTGTTTTAAATTCCGTTCCTATTAACAGAGTACTAGTCAATTAGCCAGCGTGGATGACTTTTGTGTATTCTAAGCCACGATCTTCGGAAGACAATTTAGGCTTGAAGACTTGTTTCTGGCATCACAGTATATCAGGATGTTCAATTTAGAGAATACAGAGGTCTTCAATTGTTTTTGTTGGCCAAGTCTTCGAACAGGTCCGATAAACTCCGAGTTCCTGGTATGATATAAATTTGAGCACAAGTCTCGACGCCTATACAAGTAACTATTCGAGCAGCCTCCAATGGTAAGCAGGCGATATATAAGGTCGATTGATTTCTAGTTTATTTAACGGCGTTGTTTCAATTTTGAAGGTCATGTATGTCGAAAAAGCTGCAAAATGAATAAAGGTTGAATGTAAACGTTTCAGGTAAGAACCTTTTCCGTGGAGTTAATTAAATATGGCTTTATTTTCAATTGCGTGGATAAAACAGGCGTACATGGCCCATGAATTCGGTTATTCAGCAGAAACAAGGAGTGGAACCACGAGCAGTTGTCGCTGCTCAGACAGACGATGCCACTGAACCAAATTTTTCTTCATGCGTTCCACCAAGAATAAAATGTGAATGTGTCCCGAAACTTAAACGCCATGCCGAGAGGAAGGAAGATATTCAAAGTCGTAATCTTGACACTAGATGATCGCTTTACCCCCTTAACTGAATGAACTCTAGGACCCTGGAATCGGACTTGACGTGCCTTTCCAGGAATTACGTTCTAGCCAAATTCATATCATAAGTTTTTACCTTTGTAACTGATAAATGTCAATGAATGATCGAATACGTAGTTATTGTAATCGTTTACTGATTCTTCCTATGGCTTCATTGAAGATTATATTATGCAAGTCTCACTGTCTTCATAATGACGTATCTATTAAAAAGTATGATATATGGCGATATATTTGCGTTTTAAGTGTTTGAACAAGATAGCCTTGTTGGAACATGTTGAAATGTTAAATCTAATTAAACTGTAAGTTAGAATTAGGCCATATTCTTAAGAGTGTAGATAATGTGCTATGGATCGCTAAGAATTAAGGTGTGAGGAAACTGGCTGGATTTATCTGCCTTTTGGTAGAGAATAGTAGTTGATTCTTGTAAACCTTCAGGTTCCATAAAAGGCGAAATATATCTTGAATTTCTAAGAGACTATCAGCTTCTATGGAGTTAGTAATATAACCAGTATTTGATTATTAGCTGGCAGATGGAGATCCACAAACTGGATTGTAATGCACTGATGTACATAGTCAAATTGATGTGAATGAACCCTTTTTGTGTTGCAGAATAATACAATCTGAAACAGCATTGTTTTCGCAAATCGCACTGAAAGTACAAATTTTAAAAAAATTCTTTAAAAAGTAAATTAAATATGGAAAAACTTCATGGCGACTGAAGCCATATTCCTGTCAAACGCACTTACACGAAACCGACCGTTTGACTACAGACTCCGCCAGACCCCACCACAGCCTCGAACGCATTTCTTGCTACCAGAGTTTCAAGCGGTCAAATTTAATTTTAATTATTCCCGCTTCACACGAACTGCGCACTCGTCCAATTCAGCGTGACGGACATTGGCTATTTTATTAGGAGTAGATCATTATTTATAGTTGTTTCATTTTCTGCCTGGGTTAAGAAGTGCACATCTCCCAATTTTAATTCATCGTTTCATGAATTCAAGACGCTTTAAACTGTTAAGACTACACAACATCAAAAACACACATACAAACATACTTCCATATTACTTTTTAAAATTTAGTCATGTTTTCAACTATCTATAACTGTCATTCACTCTGTCTCTCTGTACAAATAAGGCAAATGACAGAAGATGAATAAACATTTGCTATTTATAGTCTTTAGCAGTATGCAGGCCAACGGTTAAACTTCACTTGTAACTACAACGATATGCGCTATTACTTTACACTAAAACCGAAATATATTTGTAAATAAATATAATAAACATAGACTACATAGAAATATATATAATACATTTCAATAGTTACTTAAAATAGGTCACAATATTATTCATCCACAATCCATTCCTATACTCTCCGTTCGTATCGTTCGTTACACCAGTTCTCATCTGCAGATTAAAGTATTAAAACAACCAGTGAAAGAAAGACAGAATGTCGTCAGGAAAATTGGTTGACAGACATCCAGGAATACCGAAGCCCACAGAGCTATCAAGTATGTAGCTGGAACAAAGTTGACTACTAACTGAACGCCATCTATTTTTAGGCAGAACAATAACATCAGTGGGCCGGATCAACAAACTTCAAATCCCGAAAAAAAAGAAAACAGTAGAGAAAATCTACATTTAACGACGTATTTTTATGTGGCCCACGGAGGTATTTCAATGGGTATCATTTTCCTCACATGTATACAAAGAGGACGAAAAACAGAAGGCCAATGTGGCGCAGACATATGCGAGGGCAGAGATTTTCAGTGGAAGTCACAAATGAAGCCGTCGCTATTTGGCTCAGTCCTTTAAACCAGTTTGACCTCGTGCAGTTATGCAAATATTAACCTTCATAATACCAACATTTCGCTCGTTTTAAAATGCTTTAAATTTGACAGAACATCACATAAATGGGCACTGAAGCACGCGACACGAGACTAGATATGGGCTTATATTTTCTGGAGTTTTTTTTTCCAACTGACTTTCGACTGGTTTGATGCGGTCCTCCATTTTCGCCTATCTTGCGCTAATCTCTTCATTTCCACATATTTTTTACAGCCCACATCCTCAAAAATCAGCGTCACATATTCCAACCTTTGTCTCCCCCTACAATTCTTCCTTTCAACTGCTCCTTCCATTACCAAATTAACCAATCCTGGGTGCCTCAGAATGTGTCCCACCATCCTATCTCTTCTTTTGGTAAGATTTTTCCATAGACTTCTTCCTTCGCCTATCCTGTCTAACACCAGCTCATTTCGTACTTTATCAGTCCACTTAATTTTCAACATCCTTCTATAACACCACATTTCAAATGCTTCTATCCTTCTTCTTTGTGGCTTTCCCACTGACCAAGTTTTGCTTCCGTATAGCGCTGTAATCCAAACATATAACTTCAGAAAAATCTTTCTTAATTCCAGGTAAATATTTGACACTAGCGCTTTCCCACTGACCAAGTTTTGCTTCCGTATAGCGCTGTAATCCAAACATATAACTTCAGAAAAATCTTTCTTAATTCCAGGTAAATATTTGACACTAGCAGACTTCTCTTTTTGAAGAAGGCTCTTTTTTGCTTTATCTGAATTAATAGGTTTACATTGCTACAATTATTTTACTTTCAGACACATGCAAAACGTGTAGGTTTGGTTAGTCTAATTTCCGACTAGATTTCACGTGACCGCAGACAATAATTAATCACTTTACTGACGTCAAATTACAGAGTACTTATTCATTTATTAATACTTTTTAACCTGATTAAAAAATTCGCTGCTGCTGACAAATTAAAACGTTTATCATCCTCCCAAAATCAGTCACTGAACTGTGTGTTAAGGTCTTCAACTCGCAGATACTAATATATTGTCATAAATATATTACAGTTTAAAGCAGGTGGCACGCATTGTTACCAGTGTGCTTTAAATGGTTAAATTGCTAACGAGTGGGCATGTAACATTTGTTGCAGGCTATCCTGTTTTACGCGCCGCGGTGGCTGTGGAAGAACTGGGAAGGTGGGAAGCTGCACGCTCTCATGATGGACCTGGACATTGGGATCATCTCTGAGGTGGAGAAGAAGCAGAAGAAGAAACTTCTGCTGGAGTATCTGTGTGACAATCTGACCTACCACAACTGGTGGGCCTATCGCTACTACCTGTGTGAGCTGTTATCCCTCCTGAATGTAATAGGTGAGTGACGAGGTTATGTTTTAGACACCTGGGGAAATTTCGAAGCGTTAGAAGAAATTTTCAGATAATTAAAGTTGTTAAAATTGATAAATAGCTAACTATTATTTAAAATTACTGAATGTATTTTGTAGATATACCAAATTACTTTAAGCTGTATTAATAATTAATTCGGAACGGTTTTATAAAATGATGGGTGTTTTCAAAAGTTACAAAATACAAGTTAACCCCTAGTCTAGAGTGACCCCTAGTCCAGGCGACTTTTTAATTCCCAGATGTAAGCATTGTAGAGCAGTAGGAACCCTAAATCTCGAATTTACGTCAAGATCTAGATAATTTTTTCTTTTATTTAGTTTTGCGTTTACAATATTATACAGGAAATTTTAGTACGCGGACTGGCAGTCCAAGTTCTTAATGAACAAATTCCTAGTCTTACAAATCTTGTGTTCTGAATGTTATATTTAGGTAATGTAAGGTAAGAATTTAGCAATGAAATGCAATGAAAGTCATACATTAGCATTCTGGCCTCGTGCACAGATGGTCGTAGGTCGAACCTGAAATTTGTCAAATTGTCTTTACAATTGATTGAAATTGTAAATGTTACTTTATTAGGTTTTGTTACAAGCATAATAAAGTTTTGGGAAAACTTATTACTTATACACATCCAGATTCCACGTTAAATGTTTCAGGATATAAACCAAGATTTGCACCGGCGTCATGTTTCTAATGACTGACTTTCGAACAAATTCTTATGCCAATGGTTCATTAGTCATCACTGACAGACTGTCAGGCACAGAACATTATTACATTTCCGCCATGTTCTTGTTTTAGTCTGCAATAAATTATCTTAACCAAAGTTGCATATTTTTCGAAATTATGTTAGTCTGCTATGCCTTATTTGAGGACCGTATATTAAATGGTGCTAGTGGTGCTCTTACACCATGTCTGCGGTGAATTAATATAAAAGTCGACGAGGAATACGAAACTGCAAAAATATCGCTTGGGTCTAGGTGCAGGCTTACTCCATTAGACAAAAAAATGTTGGTTTCGTAATGACAGAGCAATTCTTCGACAGATAAATATGAACCGCTAGAGGAGTTGCGTTATTATAATCTTTTCTGATACAGGTCAGATGTTTCTGATGAACCGTTTCTTCGACGGAGAATTCCTTACGTTTGGCATCGACGTCCTCAAATTTATGGAGAGCGACCAGGAAGACCGTGTAGACCCAATGATATATATCTTCCCCAGGATGACGAAGTGTACTTTTTACAAATACGGCGTCTCAGGCGAGGTGGAGCGTCATGACGCCGTGTGCATCCTTCCGTTGAATGTCGTCAACGAAAAGATTTACATTTTTCTCTGGTTCTGGTTCCTAATCCTGGGGGTTCTAACCCTCGGGTGTGTTTTATACAGAGTCATCATCATCATGAGTCCCAGGATGAGGGTTTACCTCCTTCGGATACGTTTCAGACTTATTCGTTCTGACGATATCCGGACAATTGTTAGATACTCCAAAATGGGTGACTGGTTCCTTTTTTACATGCTTGGGGAAAATGTTGACTCAATGATATTCCGTGACGTCATGCATGAACTGGCCCATAGAGTTGGACAATACAGAGGCGCCAGAGGAGAGCTTACAGAAGCGTAATGATTGTTCAGTGCATAACACTCCAAGCAACTTTGTCGAAACAAAAGTCAGAAACTCATATTTAGAAGTAACTCCATCACTTCAGTTCCTCTTTGTGAGATAAATGGTGAAAATCCCAGAAGCTGGCACGAAGGCAACGTTTAATTATGACAAAGAAAATAGTAATTACTATGTAGGACGCCATCCCAGAATCAAACGACTAGAGCGTGAAGCTAGCCATTTGTTGACAAAGATAAGAATCCATGGTAATTAACGTCTATGCTCTCTATATGATTTAAAAGCATGGGCATGGACACTGGGAAAACCTTAACATTTTTAAACACGGAATTGTATGTATAGAAGAAGTAGCTGGGGCATTTTTGGAATAATCTTAAAGTAATCCAAGTTAGTAACTACTTGAGTAAAAAGATGAAATCTCGTAAATGAGGAACTAAATCACCCAGGTCATTCTGAAGTCCATACTTCACGTGTTTATAACGCACAGAAATCAGAGTAAAGATTTTATTGTTGTAGGACGGATGTGGATTAAATTTAAATAATCCTGAGTAAATAGAGGCTGGTTGAAAAACATATTAACTGCTGTAAAGGTGGCTTGACGTCTTGTAACGTCAAGTGTTTATAGTAGGAGTCAAGAGCTGAGAATAACAAGTAACAGACTTTAATATATAATTTATTCTGAAGGAAATATGACATTTACAACTGAATGTTTTATTATTTGTGTTGTTTTAAACATGTAAAAGATGTTTGGTCAAATGGAAGTGAATTAAGTCAAGTCTGTACTATGAAAAACTGTAAAGCTTCTTTACAGACATTTTTAAAAATTTTTATTACGTCTTCAGCCTGTTGATTCAATACATTTGTGTCCTCTGGCAAATTTCCGTAATTGCATAGCTGATCTCAGAATGTAAAGTACTTGCAGGCTCAGTTTGAAGTTCGTATACCTTTAGAAATTGATATTCTGGATTGCTGTGACGTTTAGTATTTTGCTTGAAAACTAACTATTCATATTCAGGGTGTTACTGATATGGCGTAACAACTAAAAAGGTCACTATTTAAACTTACATAATTGTGAAAATATTAAATGCTGCACAGACCCTATAATTTTAGATCATTTTAAGTAGGAAAATAATAAAGAGGGAAGTTTGGTTGCTTTGAATTTGTATGACCACTGCTGGACTAACTGCCATTTCATTATTTTGTGGGGCGCGGCTACTGCCTGTGAGCCAGGACGGCGCCATCATACCCAGATCGGGTCTAGTGTCCACCGAAGCTAAGTCAGAGGACTGTAATTAATGAAAGACAATAAATGCCCCACTAATTTGATAGGACTATGTTCATAATGCAAACAGCGGGACAGAAAACGCTTTATGATTCAGTTCATCGCTGATTTCTGTTAATTGAATCAACGTATCAACAGTTGTTTTAACATTTAATAAATTGAAACACTTATTAGTTTGGTGTGAAATTATTACATTATGTCATGTCTAAAATATAAATACAGCCGTACTCTCAGCTGCAATTTGAGGTTCTTACAGCGGTGAGTACGAAGATGTCTGTCTTCTGGGTTGTAGCGCCGTGTAGTATGGTAGAAGTTTACTAACGTTTCATATGTCCTTCCTGCCTCCATGATCATCGCTCTGATGATGGGAACAGCAAGGACCACTGATACGTTGGTAAATTTCTACCAGACTACACGGCGCTATAAACCAGAAGACAGCCATCTTCCTACTTTAAATTGTTATTTTCTATTCACATATAAAGTGGTATCTGATTATGGGCGAAGAAATAGATTTTGAGTGCTCGAGAACAGAGTAAAGGGGAGAATATTTGGACTTCAGGCAAATTAACAAAAGACTGCAAGGCTTTGATAATGAAAGCTTCATTATCTTTAATTTTCGCCAAATTTAGTAATGGCGATTAAGTCAAGATGGACGAGGAATTCTGTATGAGAAATTAATAAAATATTTTGAAAGGAAAACCTGAAAAGAAAAGGCCACTTTGGAGAGCTAAATCAGTTGGGCGACAATATTAAAGAATCTAAAAAGGTGGGATGTTTGGGTATGCACTGGTGGCCTTTGGATTATACCGCGTACCTTTGATTGGTCTCCGTAAAGGAGGAAGAGAGTACCTTAACCACGTGAGTATCACATAACTTCGTACTAACGGCTGTTATGAACGACGTGCGCAATGTACAGACTTTCTGCGATCTTGGTTCCACAAACATCAAGATGGCAGAAACAGTTATTATGGCATTGATTAGTTTTCTGTCAATTGTTTTCTCAACTGCCATCAAACTGCCAACAAAGGTAAATGTGATGAAGAATATTATAATAAACTAATCTTAGTAATACTTATAGCGAAAATCCAACAACTCCCACTTTCGCAGAGTGTTCATGAAGTCCAGTGCAGTGGGACGTTTAGATTTTAATAGGCAGAATCACATTTTCAAATTCAAAATAAGCTTACGAAAAAGTATTCAGCAATTCTGATTGATGATGATAATAAAATTTAATAATATATTTCTTTGAATCTTCAGGAGCTTAAAATATTTTACAGATAAAATTTGTTATATATAAGAAGAAAAGTGGTGGGAAATTTTGAACATTTTATGATAACACCTCGGAAGGTACATTAACAGAAAAATAAGATGATATGGGCAAGAAAGAATTTAAAAAGGTAATGGACTTGGATGTGAAGGAAAAAGGCCCAAGAAAGAGACAATTCAAAATGGAAGAGCAGTGTAGAACAGAAGGACGTGTGAAGAAATTGGGGAGGGGACATTGTGGTAAGAGAAGATGCATGGAGAAGCTTGGTTGTTGTTACACGATCAGGATGGAAACGTCTTAGGAAACAGATAGAAGAAAGAAAAAATAATTAATTAATGCTATTGCAAATACTAGAATACATTCATTAGCTTTACATTCATTATAAATCATATGTAATTTGTAAATTTTGCCGTATGTTTCCTTGTGCCTATTGAACATAGATTCAAATTAATGTTAGATAACCGCTGTCATGTTGTTAGTTTGCCAAAGTCTTTATGAACACTCTGCATTATTTTAATGGTACCATTTTTTAAAGTAACTTAAATACTTTTATTTGTTATCTTTGGGACTGGCAATGCGCCGATGCCAGAGTAAACGGTTATAAGTCCTAGATGTTAAGGAAATGAGAAGCAATTTATGGAAAATTCTCACAAACACTGTTTACGGTTTTTAAGAAAAACAGAATTTACACATGAAATCGAGGCTGTAGTGAATGTTTTGTCAGATTACAGGTAATATGAAATATAAGCTTTAAAGTATAAATAAAACGTCTGTTGTAAATTTTTACTTTTCCCCTTTACACTGGCACCGAAAAATTATCAACCAAACGGAAACCAAAAGTAAATTATTATAACTGTAGTTGTTGTCTGGGAATAAGTTATGTATCTAGAATAATCCACAGCAAGTCTGTTATGAATATATTTATAAAACACATTGTTTATGTACAACAAAAAGGATGGCTTCATTCATGGTCAATTCCGATACGGTATAAGTAATTACACTTCATGAGACATGAATGGTTAATATTCATAAAAACTTTAGATATTTATTTTATTGCAATTAACACTAGTCCCCTGTTGCAAAATCCTTACATTGACATGGCAATTATGTCGTTTTCTCTGGACCAACATTTGATAAAATGAAATATGTAAATACATGAGATTATTCTCTTTTATCTTAGGAAAATGTTTTGAAAAAAGTATTTTAATAAAGTCAATTTTTGTAGAAATAAACAGCATGTTATCATTTCAATCGACACGTTTTGCTTTATATGATAATCAACGAGACTGGAAAGGTAAAATCCGTATTTGCGTATACATTTTTCCATGTGTTCTTTGGTCCTTGGCATTACGAATGCTTACAGCTATTCCAATAGCTTTGATGAAGAAGTTAACGTCACAAAATAAACAATATAGGATCGACAAAGTCTTTGGATTATACTAAAGTTCCAAACATGTTATCTGAGCCAAATCAAAAGTAATGACGTCAGAAGGGCAACCAAGGGAATAATATTACAAATTATAGTTACCAAGTTGTTAACCCATTATTGTGATTATAGAACTTTGTCTGAAAGATGCTCACTGAAAACCAGTTGATAAATTAATATATATGTTTGCTGGTATCGCTTTATTCTTGTGATGAATTCGGAGCGTTCCGTATTGGTTATGAACGCAGGTACGATCTGTTACAGACCTGAGTGAGGACAGACGAAGTAGATCAGTTGACTGCTGAATCCTATGGAATGTGCCGAGTTAGTAACGTGAACAACACATATGAAAAGCTTAAACTGGTTTACCACATGTCTTCCCGACCAGTTGCCTTACGAAAATAATCAAAATAAAGCGACAAATCTGTATACAAATTTTGATTTTTAATATTTATTGACTGAAATTTTAATACATTTAATATTGAAACAAAGTATTCTTAATATTTTAAGAATTCCAACAGATTTCTCGTAGTAACAAGAGAAAGGTTTACAATAAAGTATTAAGATACCCCATATACAGTTTTCGTTGAATTCTGAGTGAGGACAGTGCTAACAGAAGACAATCTCTTCTGCTAGTTGAAACATGTAGGCACAAAGATGAATTTCATTTGCTAGCCTTGGTTCATTAGAACGAAATTAATAGTCTTTGTAAAATTTGAGGTTTTCCTAAGGACCCCTGAAACGTCGGTAAACTTCTACCAGACTACACGGCGCGACAACCGGGAAGACAGCCATCTTCAATATTGTCTTTGTCGTCTGAGTCAATTTTCTTACAGATGCCACGTTTAGATGGTCTGATGAAACGCACTCTACTATTTCAAGAGATCATTGCGTGATAAGGAGTTATCTATTCTACTGATTAAAACAAGACTAAGAATAATAAATTGATAGAACCGCACTATTATTCTCACTTAGCAATCTGAGTTATCGTTGTAAAGTATCGTTAAGCGATCACCTGCAGGAATCCACACAGCCAGAGTTAATGCTGCTTAACCTAATTGCGCTTCGAATTGCTTAATATATTAATCACATTGATAAAAACTATATGTGTAGCTTTGGATCAAAGACAACCATAATAACAATGCCTTCTTGAAGTGTAATGATCTTCGGAACTCGCTACTTACCATTTAGAAATGCAAAACCTGTGAGTGGGAATACGGAAAAGGAACTGTAATACGAATACAATTGATTAATGCATTGAGTGAATTAGACGTACTAAAATGCCATTTAAAATTCAATAAGTCTGAACGTTGTAAATTTCAACAGTACTTTTGTGCTCGTGTGTTATAGCAGAACACAGTCATGTGGGACATAGTCAGAGGTGTCGCTACTGGAACTTTGTTTAAGACACGGAAAGTAAACACAGATTCGACTATATTTAAGTTACATTATCGTGCGACGTTTTGCATTATTTTGTTATTCACAGCCATCTTAGCTGCTAATCAGTATGTTGGGAAACCAATCAGGTGCATGCATCATATGGACGAGCACCCAGATGAAATTCTGGACACCTTCTGTTGGATTCATTCGACGTATACTGTGACCAAAGCCTTCTACAAGAAAGTGGGTGTAGACGTCCCGTTTCCTGGTGTCGACAACTCAAGGGGGAATCAGGAAGAGGTGAAAGTGTATCGCTTCTACCAGTGGGTGTCTTTCTGCCTTCTATTTCAGGTAAGACTCAAAGTACCAACCTCAACGTCACTAAACAGGCTGACAAAATCATGAAGGATGAAATTCACGAGACAAGCAGAATGTATAGGGCAGATGAGAAATGGTAACCAGTTTTAATCGCATAACTTAAGAGAACAGACCACATGGGAATAGGCACACATGGCAGGATAATATTAAAATAGGTATTTCAGAGATACGGTTTAAGGATGTGGGCCGGATACATTTGGCTTATAATGGGGTTCAATGGCCAGATCTTAAACGTGGTAATGAGTCTACGAGTTCCATAACAGGCGGAGAATATTTAATTAGCTGAGCTACTATTAATTTCAGTTTTATGGCTTATTTCGGTTCAACATCACTGGAAAATGAAGTCTTAAACTTCATGAACTGTATAATCCGCTTCAGATGCTGTTACTTATTCCCTTAAAATGTATGCACCACGTCTCAGTCAATGATTAAGATTGGTTTTAATAAACTGTACTCGAATACATCTACGAATACGCAGAATAAGGGCCTAAGTGTCTAGACGCTGCAGTAGCTAATATCAGAGGTTCGGCATGTCACAACAGTTATATCTTCAGTAACTAACAAGGGCGAAGTGCCAGCACCTAAAAGGATAGATTATTAAAGCATCTAAACAAATTTTTAAAGTGAAATAATGACAGACACAGTAATAATATTCACAAATTTAGGATAGACTAAGTTATTGCTTTGTTTTTAAAAAGTAAAGAAATTGTCCGTGTTATTCTGAAGGTAATGGCATATTTCTTGGAAAGAGACAGAAAAATTAAGAGTAATGATATAGACAGTAACCTAATCAAGGATATTTCATATTAAAGTTTGCTAAAATATGAACAAAGTTAATGTAACAAAGATCAATATGGCGAAGGTATTTTGGAACGACAGTATTGAATCAGAACTGAATTCTCGAGATTTTAAGAGCAGATTACAGTAGGGCAATTTTATCGTCCAGCTCAGAATCTCTTATTATTCAGTAGCATATCTAGAAACGTAAAGAATAATTAAATAAGAAGAAAATATTTTTCCTGCTGTTTTATTTTGGTGTGAAGCTTGATCTCCCACTCCAAATAAAGACCAAAATATTTATTTATGTATTGTCAGAGGGCTGATGTTGGCAAGCTCTATACGTACCCTGAATATTTCCGGGTCTCGAACTTCCGCCAATGAAATCA